CCATTTAGAGTCATAGGCGAGAGAGTCCTGGCTGGCCCTAGCAGGGTTGAGAGTAATGTCAATACTAAGATTCTTTCCATAATCTAGCTCAACCAAGTAAATGACAGGTTTTAGTGATAGCGTTGTACTGATTGATTTCACAGCTGCTTCCAACTCTTCTAAGACCAATAGATCTGGGAGGCATGGAAATTTTATCATTCAAAAATAGTCTTCTTCACCTTGGTTCCAGTTAATTAGGTTTATCTCGGGCCACTAGCTGTAAGGTCAGCAGTTAAACTACCAGATGTTCCTCAGGAGAATGACAAAGCTTTCTACTCCCATAAAGATGTACAACCTCAGAAAACTACTGGGGCAGCTATACTGGCCCTCTAGGGTCACTGTGGGTCATAACTGACTCGATGGCAGTGAGTTTTGAGAATCCAGGTTATCCGTGCAACTACCTCTGGCTTAGTCGATGTGAAATCTTGTGAGGTTATCAGAGAAGGTGCTAGTCCTTTTCCTGCAAACTACATTCTAGAAGGAGTTTTCATTTCAGTAGGAGGGACCCAGGACTACAAGCAATGGGGGTTGAATTGGTACAATGCAGTGCCCTGGGAAAGATTGTACATTGGTTCCCACTCCACCCATTCCCTGATGTCAGCCTGTTGGACTGTCCTTCCCAGAGGCCTCGAACATGAATCGCCCTATTCGACATAGGATTTTTCATTTGCTATTCTTTTTAAACTTTAGCTAGTGCTGATTGGAAAGAAATCCCAACACTGTGTTTTATTTTATGTTAGGTTTTTACTGTGAATGTGGTGTGAAGTTTACAAAGCAAATTAATTTCCATTCAACCATTCGCATACAATTTGTTTCATGACATTGATTGCAATCCCCATAATATAACAATACTCTTTCTCCTTGTGCTTCCTGTTTGCATTTGCCCTTCTTTCCTATCCTATCCTATCCTATCCTATCCTATCCTATCCTATCCTACCCTAGCCTAGCCTATTCCATCCTATCCTATCCTATCCTATCCTATCCTGTCCTGTCCTGTCCTGTCCTGTCCTGTCCTGTCCTGTCCTATCCTATCCTATCCTATCCTGTTCTATCCATCCTATCCGATCCTATTCCATCCTATCCTATCCATCTTGTCCTATCCTATCCTATCCATCCTATCGTATCCTATCCATCCTGTATTATCCTATCCTATCCTATACATCCTGTCCTATCCTATCCTATCCTATCCTATCCTATTCCATCCTATCCTATTCTTCCTATCCTATCCTATCCTATCCTATCCTATCCTATCCTATCCTATCCTATCCTATCCTATCCTATCCCATCCCATCCCATCCCATCCCATCCCA